CGACAAGGGGATCCTCTTTCACCTTGTTTATTTATCCTCTGCACGGAGGTTTTAATAGCCAATATACGAAAAGCGGAGGAAGAAAAGCGATTAACAGGTTTAAAGATTGCTAGAGCAAGTCCAGTGGTATCACACCTACTTTTTGCGGATGATAGTTTGTTCTTTTGTAAAACAACTAAGGATGAATGCCAGAAGATCTTGAGTATACTAAAACAATATGAAAGTGTCTCAGGACAACAAATTAATTTCGAAAAATCTTCCATTCAATTCGGCCACTCAGTTCCGGAGGATACTCAACAAGAGATGAAACAAATATTGGGCATTTCTAGAGATGGAGGCACAGGATCATACTTGGGCATACCTGAAAGTTTGGGTGGAGCTAAAAGTAAAATTTTCAACTTTGTAGCGGATAAACAACATGATCGAATTAACAGCTGGACCTCGCGGCTACTCTCAAAAGGGGGTAAAGAAGTTTTACTTAAATCGGTAGCATCTGCGATGCCTACCTTTGTTATGTCGTGCTTCAGACTGCCTAAGTCCACAACGGCAAAGTTGACTAGTGCAGCAGCAAGATATTGGTGGAGTTCGGATGTTTCTCATAGAAGAATGCATTGGTTTGCATGGCCAAAAATGTGTCGAAGCAAAACAAACGGAGGGATGGGTTTTCGAACGATGGAGGATTTTAACACGGCACTTCTGGCAAAACAACTATGGCGATTATTAGATAAACCAACATCACTGTTTGCACGGGTTTTTAAGGGGCGATATTACAGAAATACATCTCCCTTAGAGCCTTCTTTGCGGTCTTACTCGTCTTCTTACGGATGGCGTAGCATTATTTCGGCTAGATCTCTGGTTAATAAAGGGCTCATCAAAAGAGTTGGATCGGGTTGTTCTATCTCGGTATGGAATGACCCTTGGATACCATCCTCTTGCCCGAGATCAGCCACTTGTAAGGGGTATAATTATTACCCGAATCTTATGGTTAATCATCTGATTGATCCATTAACAAATATGTGGAATATGGGTTTGATAAATGCTATCATTGACCCAGGTGACGTGGAAATTATTCGTGCCATTCCCATTAGTAGGACCTATAGTCCAGACTCACTTGGATGGCAGTTCACGAAATCAGGAAAATATACGGTTAAATCAGGATATCAAACAATGCAACAATTCCCAGATAATCCTACAGAAGTTGTTTATGGTCCAGATATTAGAGCACTACACGTACATACATGGAACATAAAATGTACTCCAAAGTTAAGACATTTTATTTGGCAAGTAATATCTGGGTGCCTCCCAGTAGCAGCTCAGTTACGCTCCCGAGGAATACAATGTGACACGCAATGTAATCGATGCGGGGCAGAGAGGGAAACCATTAATCATGCTCTTTTTGAGTGTCCTCCTGCTTTACAAACATGGGCTCTATCTCAAATACCAACGCCCCTAGGCGTTTTTCCGATGGAATCGGTCTTCGTTAATTTCGATTATCTTTTTTGGAGACTACCAAAAGGGATATGTGACACTCATTTCCCTTGGATTGCGTGGTACATATGGAAAGCGAGAAATGAGAAAGTATATTCGAATTTAGATGTGGACCCACAAATCACATTAAAAATTGCGGTATCTGAAGCGAATTTATGGGAAGAGGCGCAAAGGTCAGAGGACGATCTAGGCCCACAACACAATAACCTTCCCCCAGAACCGAGAATCATTACACAGGGGAGTTGGTGGTGTTATATAGATGCTTCTTGGAAAGATACGGATTCATTTTCCGGCTTAGGATGGTACTATTTTCAGGATGGAAATAGAGACAACATAATGGGAGCAAGGAATGTTCGGCGAAGTCTTTCACCTCTTCATGCAGAGATGGAAGCTCTCATTTGGGCTATGCTGTGCATGATAGGAAACCATATGACAGAGGTAGCTTTTGCAACGGACTGTTTGGATTTGGTGAAGATAGTGTCTACACCTAACGATTGGCCAGCATTTGCTATATACACAGAGGAGTTTGTGAAGATTAAAGAGAGTTTCAACTCATTCACACTTTCACATATCCCACGCGCAAGAAATACAAAGGCCGATATCTTAGCAAAAAGTGCTCGTGTCTGCTCTATCGATTTTATGTACGTAAATTCAGTACCTCCGGTTTGGGTTGTCGAACCGTTCTAGGTGTTTAAGCTGTTGACAAAAAAAAAAAAAATTAGTGGTTTAAACAGAATTTAAGGGTGACAATAAGTTTGTGAAATTTATTTTAAGATATACCAAAAATTAATTTAATAGTTTATTGAAGGGTAATTCAATACTATCATGTATAATTTATACTCATTAACACAGTAAAATTTAGAAAATTTTTGTCTTTCTCAGCACACACAATATGTTATTCGACAAAAGCTTGGTATTTACCAATTTAAGATAAGATTGAAAAAAATTTATATTGAACTCATCAATCTTTGTGACTTAAAATTAGTTTCAAATTTTATTTTATATTTTTTAAAAACATATGAGAGCAAAATTATGTTTATTAGTTTGGTTTTTTTATTTAGAATAAATCATAAAGATGTATTGACTAAACTACCTAAGGAAAGAAATTTTTTTTCAATTTTATCATTTTTTCATAAAAAACATACATAACAAAGATGCAACTGAAGAAAAAACATTATTTTCTTGACTAATAAGTGATGTATAGTACTATATCTTTGTGTTAATACTAATTAAATACTAATTTAATACTAATTTAATTAGTTTGTTATATTTTGGGTTGGTTTTGGTATACAAAATGTTAAACATTCGACAAAAAATATGTTTTTAAAATAATACATATATAAATTCAAACAAGATCGTTAAAACCTCAAAATCTATATATAAATTTTGAAATTAAAACTGAATTATTTTTGATAAATTTTATTACAACAAATTAAAATCTAAAAAAATATAATTGTTTAAATATGATTTTTTTAATATGATAGCATTAAAAAACTAGTATGCGTAGATGCAAAATCTAGTATAATATAATGATGCCAATCATTCTCCTTATTTTTGGTTTTAATATATTTTTTTCCTAACCTATTTATCTTTTTCTGTTTGTCAATTTGTGTTTTAATATCTTTTTTTTTCTTTTACCTTAACTTTTTGTAATTTGTTTGTTCTTCCCTAAACCTTACCTTTTTAACGTACTTAAAGGTAAGGGCAAAATGTTATGAAGTAAATACATTTAGAATATTTGAACCAAAAAAAAAAAATCGATCGTGTGGTATCATTAAAGAAGAATCGATCGTGTGGTATCATTAAAGAAGAATCGATCGTGTGGTATCGACAATTCAAAAGCTTCTCACTCTCTTCTAAAATGGAGGCTGAAAATTTCATGCAGCTTTCTCTTCTTTAACGCAGAAACGACACCGTTTTAAAGCTCGTCACTGTCAACGAATCCTCCAATGATGATCCTCTTCCATAGTTCCATGTTACACCTCCCTTAGGGACATCCTCCCCTCCACCACAACCACCGTCAATTCCCCCTCCGCCTCTACCGCATGTCCCACCATCTCCATCAGCAACCGCCTCGTTAAGCAAGCCGCTTGTGCCTACGTTCAGCCTTCTACTCCAACTCCTTCATTCCTCCGCGGCCTCTCCTCCTCCTTCCTCCGCCTCTTCTCCGCCTTCTTCCGCCTCTTCCCATCTCCTAGGAGAATCTTTAGAGCTTAAGTGATTCAGTGACCAGAGAGAATCAATATATAATGATAAACTATTTTCATGAGTATTAATCTTGCATCATCTCTATTTAATTATTCCTTTTTATGATTCAATATTTTTTGTTGTTCTTCTTATTTTATATATATCTCTTTTATCTTAGCTTAGCTTAGAACAAGAAAGAAATTTGGTTGCCTTATCCTACAAGGAATTTCATAAAAGAAAACCCTAGTGCAACTTTTCAATCATCAGAATTTTCCTAAAGAGGCAAAAGCACTAAATCGGTTGTGAGTTATGATTTGATTTTTCATACAGCTCACAGCTTCGTATGCTTTTCCTCTGTTTGTTGAACTTTCCTCAAACTCCACTTTCCACTCCAGAATAGTGATCAAAGTCAGATGGAGAATACATGTCAGTTAAGAGGAATTTTGTTCAAGAGTTTCTTGAGTTGTTTTGTGAATCTTAATGATGTTTCACAAGAGGACAAAGATTCAAGCTGAAGATTTGTTAAACTGATTATGAGGAGATATTAATTACTTTGTTTACATTATGGATTTACCATTGTTGTAACAGATATAGACGCATACAAATTTTTACTCGCATTAGGAGAAAATGATTCTATCTAATGAGAGAAGCAAAAAGGAAGAAGCCTATAAGCAAATTCTAAATTGGCAACAGCAAAAGCCATGGCTAAGGAAAACTTATGCTTGAGGTAAGCGTTGATGAAAGGGTCCAAGTTTAGAATATTATCTATTTTTTTTACTATTTACGTTTTAGCTTTCTCTCCAAATTTTTATGATCCTATATATATATATATATATATATATATATCATTATTTATGGAATATCACATACAATAATTTCTTATTTTCTTTTCTCTTTTTCTTTCTTATTTACAATATTACTGAATTAATTATCTCTATCTTTATTATATAAATTTAATTTATCATTAATATGAATAGAAGTACTTATTTAATTTACAAAATGCTGATATGGTAAACAATAGAAAAATAATATTCAACTTGTAGTAGTAGATATCGGGTATGCCGTATGTATGGCGACGTAATCGAAACGCTGGATAGAAGTTTTACAACAGCGACGTGCTCGAAATGCCAACAACACCAATCTGGAGGGGCTTTTAATCATTATTATTTTCTTTCAAATATGCCTCATCTTTTGGATAAACAAATATATATTTTGCCTCTTCCTCTTTATCTTTCTAGTTTACAAATAGCTTTATACCATAATGTTTGTAGTTGCTTGTTATCATAATTATTTTTTCTGATAAAGTAGCTATCTTAATTCCTGTAATGGAGAGTATTCGAAGTGTTCTTTCCATGGCGCTGATTGGGAGTTTTTTCATTATTCATCTCAATAATGCTCAAGGTCAACTAGGTATTTAATGTTTTTGAGGATAAACGATCTTTGCACGAGATTTCTGTTTTCATTTTCCTATGAATATATAGCCAAAGTTCACTGGTATTGCAAACTTTCGTGGCTGTCTTTGCACTTGGCATATTAGCACAAGATTTTGGTTTCCATTTATCGTTTCATTGAATTTTTCTAGGATTCATCAGCTTGGATTGCGGAATGCCAAGTAGCGAGTCTAGTTATACCGAAAACATTACCAGTTTGATTTACTCATCCGATGCTGATTTCATCCGAAGCGGAAAAAGTGGCAAAATCAAAAATAACGAATATGAGTCCTTGAAGCCATACAGACACCTGAGATATTTTCCAGAAGGACAACGGAACTGCTACAATCTAATGGTCATGCAGGGCAAAACCTATCTTATAAGAGCTGTCTTCGTATATGGAAACTACGATGGTCTTAAAACTATGCCCAAGTTTGATCTCTACATAGGCCCTAACTTGTGGACAACCATAGATTTTCAAGATCAACTTTCGGATATTAGTAAGATCACAATGCACAATGGTATTGCGGAGGAGGTCATTCACATGTCAAAGTCAAACTCTTTGGACATTTGTCTTGTTTCGACAGGAACAACAACACCATTCATATCAGCCTTAGAACTACGGCCCTTGAGAGATGATAGTTATGCTACTGAATCTGGCTCCCTGAAGCTCTTATTCCGACAACGCTTCTCAACTGATTTTATGAAATTTAATCTCCAGACACGGTAATTACTTTGATTTTGAATTGTTCAACAACCTGCTTTTCAGTTACTGGAACGAAAATAAGCTTATAGGTGGGAGTTTTCTGGAGGGTTGAAATAAATGCAATTATAAATATCATTAGGTATATAGGCTACATATATATGTATATATATATATATAATTAATGGATTAGCATAGTTAATATAGGTTGAAAATATATAGGCTACAAATGGTTACATTTTTTTTTTTTTGGTTAACAATGTGTAATATGTGATTTTGAACCTGATGACACTAGCACAAACTAGTAAGCTACACGTTTTACGTAATAGGGAAATTTTGAAATCTACTACTTTTACTATATCATAGTCTAAAAAATATCAGTATATCACTAAAGAAAGAGTTTTTTTTTGAAATATACAATTTCGATTAATTTACTTATAATCATTTATAGACTTACCTCATTTTATAAATTGGTTTTCAAACATACATTCTTCATTTCATAAATACATTACCTTATAAAATCTTATAAACATGTAATAAAACTTTATAAAATATCTTATAATGCTGATTATAAAACCTTACAAAACTTAATAAACATTTTTATAAGCTAGTTTCTAAGTGTTTATAATTTTTAGTTTTATAAATGACTTTCCAAACACATATAAAAGATAGTATTTTAAAAATGTAGTAGAATAAGCAGTACTATCTCCGTTTCACAAAGAGTGTCGTTTTAAGGTTTTATTTTTGTTTCATAAAAAGTGTCGTTTTATATTTTCAATGCAGAATTTTAAACAATATTCCAGTTTTGACCCTATTGATTTAATGTATTAATTAAAAAAAGTTATCTAATGTATGAATAAATGGTAAAATAATATTTTTAATAGTTTTCTTAATAAGTGTGAAAAATGTCAGAATGACACTTTTTGTAAAACGGAAGGAGTATTATTTTCAAAACATGGTACCGCAACGATGGTGTTTCCAAGAAGGTAAATAGTAGCACTATGAACTATCATATTTATCAATTTAAAATGGTGGTTAAAGGGTTTTTAATGGAGGACATTCAAAAAATAGTGTTTCCAAAATTGGAGGAATCATATTTATCAATTTGAATAAGCAGTATTCTAGATTCCTCCTAGAAGGTAGATAGTTGCACTTTTAGATTAATAGAAATTAGAGGAAAAATTGATTATGCTCAATTTTAGCTTTCATTGAATGTAGTATAAAATATTTAATTAGTTCATTCCATTTTAGTTAGAAAAATAAAAAATATAACGAAAAAATATACTCCATGAAATAAAAGAAGAATAAATTGATTTCTTTTTCTTATAATTCATCATTTTTGTTCTTTCTTCCACTCCAATCAAGGTAATCAGTTGCACCAATAGTTGAATGTTGATCATCCTAGTTTAGTCTTACCTACCAGCCCGATCACAATAAAACTTTCATGTTAAACTTACACATATGATATCTATGTCTAATGAAAAATTGTGCCAGGTATCCTTTCGATATCCATGATCGTAAGTGGTATACAGAGATAGGCTCGGACTGGACAGAAATAAACACCAAAGTCAATGTAACTAGTTTGGATGCCTTTGAAATACCACAATCCGTAATTTCAAAGGCTGTGACAACCAAAAATTCTAGTAAGCCGCTGACCATGAGCTGGATTCTGCGAAAACCGTACACCCAAGTTGATGTGTACCTTCACTTTGCTGATATCCAAGATCTCCAGCCCAATGATACCAGAGTATTTAATATTTTATGTAATGAGCATACATATTTCTCGGAATATAGACCTCTAGAGTTCATGGCAGAGACTTTACCTATTAAATCTATAAATATGTGTGAACGTCGTATTTGCGCATTGGATTTGGCCCTCGTAAAAGCTAAGTCATCAACTCTTCCACCTCTGCTTAATGCCATTGAGGCTTTCGGAGTTATCCAACTTCCTTATTCAGAAACGGATGAAAACGACAGTATGTAAAAAAATTTATAGTAGTTGTTATCAACATTTTTTAATCTTCTTTTTAAGTTATAATTGACAGCTAGTAACTTTTTTATATGCAGTAATTGGAATCAAGAAAATCCAAGCTACTTATAAATTACACAAAATCAATTGGCAAGGAGATCCCTGCGCTCCTATACTATACAAGTGGGATGGATTAAACTGCACTAACACTAATCTATCTACTTCTCCAACTATAATTTCTTTGTAAGATAAGTCAAATTTTTCACAGTGATATCTGAAAAGTATCTTTGACCTAAATTATGCATCGCTCCTTGAACAGAGATTTGTCTACAAGTGGATTAATTGGTGCCATATCTCCTGACATAAAAAATTTAAGAGAGCTACAAAAATTGTAAGTCTCGCATTTTACCTCTATTTTTGCTACACTTCAGTAGGATGAAGATTAAACTGTTGTTAGATTTTCTTTAAAAGGTGCTATTGCATATCGTTAGAAGATATCATTTTTTTTATGATCATTCCATCTATTTTCAAACACCAGAGATCTATCAACTAATAATTTGACTGGAGGAGTGCCAGAGTTTTTCTCTAGCATGGAATCGTTGACCTTCCTGTAAGTTGATAGGGGAGTAATTAAACACACATATTTCGCTTTATATGGTAAAAACATTCTCATATTAAAGTTTATTTACATTGACAGAGACTTGAGTTACAATAACCTTAGTGGCTCAGTTCCTCAAAGTCTTCGTAACATGGAAAAGAAAGGTCTAAAGTTAATGTATGTTTCTTTTTTCCACCATTAATTTTTGTTTTGCAGTTATTTATTTCCCCTCCTATCAATATTTAGTAACAAAAAATAATTATTTACAATTAACAGTGTTCACGGAAATCCAAACCTCTGTTTGTCTTCTTCTTGCGAAAGTAATGGAAAACACGAAAATAAAATTCTGGTTCCTGTTCTTGTGACAGTTGCCTTTATCTGCATCATTGCAGTTGTGTTTCTTCTGATAACTTTCATTAATAGAAAGAAGAAGTCATCGAAAGGTAAAGTAAACACCATGAAAGATAAAGAATCTTGAACTAGAATATTGTTTGTGATGCATGATCCTTACTCTCCAGCTTTACGCCCATTCATTGTGGCCAAAAAGAGAAGCTTTACTTATGGAGAGGTCAAAGAGATGACAGATAACTTTGCGAGAGTTATTGGAGAAGGAGGGTTCGGTATCGTGTATCATGGTTATTTAAATCGTGATGAACAGGTTGCAGCTAAAGTACTCTCTCAATCCTCAGCTCAAGGCTATGAGCAATTTAAGGCTGAGGTAGTCTCACCATAAGTAATCTTCATCACTACAAGATCCTATGAAATTTAGATTCACCTAAGCTATTGTATTTTGTTGTTTATGTTGTTTGATAGGTAGAACTTCTTCTCAGAGTTCACCACATAAATCTAGTAAGTCTAGTTGGCTATTGTGATGAAGGAGACCACTTAGTCCTCATCTATGAGTACATGCACAACGAAGACTTAAGGAAACATCTATCCGGTAAATTTGATTACCTTAGTTATTTTCTGTTGCAGTGACCGCATTTCAGATTTAAAACTTTCGATGGAATTGATCACACACGTCTTGTTGAGTACAGGGGAATGTGCTAGGCCGCCTTTGAGTTGGAAAAATAGACTAAGAATTGCGGCAGAGACTGCACAAGGTTCATTTTAATTATTTTTTAATTACAAGAAGGTTTTGAGCCAAAGCCCGTAATCTTACCGAACCCGTTATATTAGTTTCGTCCCAAGCGATACTCCATCATGTGATCTCTAGGCTTTACCTAAAGCTCATTATCAGTCAAACCTCTTTACCAGTCGAGCTACCAATACTTGATGGTCTATTTTAAATTTATAGAAATCGCATTTACCTTTTAATTGCAAACACTTAGAAGGATTGGTTTTATGCTTCTTTTAACTTTTATAAGTCATTTCAAGTAGGATTGGAGTATCTACATATTGGCTGCAAACCACCAATGATTCATAGAGATGTCAAATCTACAAACATACTCATCGACAAGCACTTCCAAGCAAAACTCGGCGATTTTGGTCTTTCAAGATATTCCCCAATAGGATCTAAAACTCACGTGTCAACAAATGTAGTTGGATCACCGGGTTATCTTGATCCTGAGTAAGTAAATTCTCATACACTATCTAATTTTAAATAATGTCCTTCGTTTCATTTTGATAAAATAAATTTTTTTTTTATACTACAGATATTACAGAACAAATTGGTTGACCGAGAAAAGTGATGTCTATAGCTTTGGGATTGTATTATTGGAAATAATCACTAGTCTGCCAGTGATTCACCAGACTCGTGAAAAGCCTCACATAGTAGAATGGGTGGGATTTAAGCTAACAAATGGAGATATCGAAAATATTGTGGATCCAAGCCTTGGTGGAGACTATAGCTCTAGTTCTATGTGGAACGCTCTTGAACTAGCAATGTCATGTGTTACGCCATCTTCATCTGGAAGACCAAATATGTCTCAAGTTTCTGGTGAGCTAAAAGCATGTATTTTCATTGAAAACTCAAGAAAAGGAGGGACATCCGACATTGACCTGAAGAATTCCATTGGACCTAGCATGGGCTTTGGACCCGATGAGAACCCTGATGCACGCTAGTTCATGCCAAGAATCATAGTCTATGTTTTGAATGAAGAGAAATTCTTCTAAAGTAATATATTTCTTGTATTATATTTTCTTAATCTTGATCAAGATCAAACACCTTTTGGCATGTTAAACTGTGACAATTGATTCTGAACCGTGGTTGTCAAAGTCCAAAGATTTATCATTTTTTCAACGGGATTAAAACCATTTCCATTTATTTGTTTTTCTTGGACCAATCTCATAAGAATACTTGCAAATCCTTTTTTTTTGGTTGGCATTAGTCTCATATTGACGTAGTCATGAAGACGCAATTCACATCCTTAGCCCATCAACAATCTTCTCTTAATGCACCTTTTGAATCCTCTCTGCAACTTTTTTGACTTCTTGACCTGATTAGACTCAAATCAATAGAAATACACAAGTACTCTTTAGGTCATAAACCTTATAAACTTTATTAAAATGACTATGTATATATTATATAACCGTATCAAAAACATGTAAAATAGAGGTATATTAGTCACACATTCCTTTGTTAGATCAGATTATACTTGTGATGTGATCATGGATAGCAGAAATGACTTGAGCTTGAATCTGAAAGAGATGAGCTTGTAGCTGAGAATGCTGAGGATGAGCTTGTAGCTGAGGAAGCTCTAGTTGCACCAGTTGGACCTATCACTCGTTCTAGAGCCAAGAAATTCAAGAAAACATACAGAGGAATACTTAAGTTCTTTTAAAGTCGATCAGATCTCTTGAGCAAGGATGGAGAAGATGTTATCCAAACCTCATTGGTTTTGATACAGGTTCAAGATGATCAACAAATGGGCATGTGATCATTTGTACTTCTTTGTTTTTTCTTTTCTTTGGTTTTTTTCCAATGGGTTTTCCAAAGAGAAGCTTTTAATGAGACAAATGGATCACATTCCATCACCCATTTGTTGATCCATACCAAGGCACGAAAAAGAAGAAGTTTCGGCCAAAGGAGGAGAAGAGTGATCTTTTGATTCAAACTTTGTCTTTATTGTTTTGCTAGTTTTTGAGACAAGTCTTAGCTGTTGAAGACTTCTCTTCTTCTTTATAACCTCTTGTAATCTCTTCAGAGAAACTATTTCTTTTAATAAAAATTCTTTCTAAAGTAAAGATAATTTTATTCTCTGAAAAATCTTAGCTTGTTAGTGTGTCAAATCTATCAAGCAACTGATCCTTTAGGTGTGTCATATCCTTTGGATCACCCTTTGTATATCAAAGGTCTTCTGCAACTTTTTGCAACCTATCAATCCACTTCTCTTTTCCTAGAATCATCAGTATTTCATTGCACAAGATCTATCCTATTCTAACCCTTAGAGTGACGGTCCTTGGAAGATCTTATCAAGTGGTACTAGAGCCACTCTACGCGTTGTTCAACCTCTTCATCAGGTCGTTTTTTTTTCCTTTCTATTTCTGATCGTTTAGTTTTGTTAATTGTCTTTTCAGTTCGCATATAGATCTATCAGAAAATTTCATAAAAAAATTGCTTCTTATCTCTTATGTGCATCTGTTCTTGTTAGATCGAATGCTAGATCTAGTTAGATTCCACCATAATCATAGTGATCTAGTGTTCCTGTGTTGTCATCTTCCGATCTCCATTTGTGTTCATTTTGTCTCTTCAACTTATATCATTAGATCTGTGCCATCGAGTTGCATTTTTGTCTCTTCGGATTCAAGTCTGTGTTTTCTTAAATATAGCATTAGGATTAGTTTAAATGGTTATGTGGGAACTCAAAGAGACATTTAAGAATTGATCGATTGTGAAAGCTAGGTAATGGTGATCTGTTAGCTTTTCTGTTAAAGGTAGAGATGTCAGACCATGAGGAGGAAACCAGACGCCGCAATAACAAGCAATGACTGTCGAGATGAAGAGATTGACAGCCATTCAGATGGAACAATTTCACCAAGAGATGCAACATAATTCATACCCGAGGCAAAATAGAGAACACCAAAGGAGAAAACCAGAGAGATCCATGGGGAGAGTCTGAGAACATCATAGACCATGGAGGGATGAAGTGATGTGCTACGAAGTGAGGGAACAAGTTTTACCCTTAATAAAAACAAATGAAAGTCACAAGTGCACAGCTAATCAGTTGTAGTACTTAGGGATCGAATCTACATGAATTTGTGTGTCCAGTATTTTTCTACGGTTTAGAAACGGATTAAACTGAAACTAAAGAAAGCAAATGAATCTATCCTAAATATCAAGTAGAAAATTGAATGGAAGCAAAATGAAATAAGCAGAAAATCGAACTAAAGAAAATGAAAATGCAGATCTATTGAAGCAAATGAATATCGATTGGTTTGTAAACTATGACTAAAAACGTTGGGATTTCGGGAACTCTATAGGGATCATAATCGGTTTCAACACTGGGAATTTTCAATTGGGATTGACGGATATTGAAATATTAGGGTTCTAGAGTTAGAGTTCGGCGGTATGACTACATCACCACCGTGATCATAACCAACTGTATCTCGCTACCATGACCAGTATGTTTCCACTCTGGCCCTGGAAGGGAGAAAACGCAAGAGCTGCACAGGACTCGTCAGTACTCACGACTTCGCTGCAGGTACAGAAAAATTGCATGTTTCATTCTAGGTAGGATACTTAATGAAAATTTTCGCAACACTAACTATCTAGATCAGATACGAGGTGATCAATCAAGAATACATGCATTAAAGATGAGAATAAACAGAGAAAATAGTTAAAATCACATATCTAAAAACCTAGATGTCTTAATCGATTATGAGAGCCCCTTTCGGGAACCCTATGCCCAACTCGGGATCAACTCAGCCATGGCTGAGGTCGACATCATCATTGGTTTTAATGAAACCAATGCCCAACTCGGGATCAACTCAGCCATGGCTGAGGTCGACATCATCATTGGTTTTAATGAAAGTAATCAAAAACAGTAAAGAAAAGAGATGAAAGAAAGCTTCTTTATTGATGAACTCAGAGTTGAAGAATCTTCTCTAAAAATCGCATAAAACGACTGGAAAAAGGGTTTCTGTAAAAGTATGAAAGGTGATATCTAAAAACGACATAAATGACAAGTATTTATAGTCTTCAATACGCCAAAGTCTCTTGAGTTCCAGAATAGAGGGTGGGAAATGACACCATATAAAACAACTGAAAACTGGTTTTATGTCGATTGGAAACAAATGTTAAGGTCTAGGAATTTCTCTGAAAAGTCAAAATTATAAATCAGATAATAGTTAGAATTTCAATGAAGAACTGTGTTCTAGAACTCGAATCATTGTGAGATAATTCACCAACTTTTGCTGCGTAAATTATCTATGTCTAAATTCTAGAAGTCTAAATTTCTTTGAAAATCAATTAATTAAACAAGTATTAATGGACAAGTTCGATTTTTTCACAAAATACCTACGCCAAGTTTCTTTGCAGTAAGTTATTTTGCTCATCAAAGATAGTTGAAGCATTTGACAACACTTTCGCATCTATCAATTAACCTAGATCTTAACTCTAGTTCATGACTCTAGAATAAGTATTAAGCACAAACTAAGATGAAGAACTAGAATATAATCTAACAAGTTTAATTTAATTTAATAATCCATGACTAACCTTTGAAAACTCTAAACCTAATAAGCAAAATACTCAGATATAGTAGATAAAAAGTTAACATGATTGAAATATATTTCATATAAGAAATAAAGAGGTTTGAATTCTTCTCTCTAACGAACAAAGTCTTTGTGAAATCAACGAAAAAAAGGATTTTTTGGTTTATGTCTGATCTTGGGAAAAATTAATACAAAATCCATAGATATATCTACCCATGGTGAATTAGGAATAAGAAATGGCATATAGAGACCGTGAAGATGTAATATGGACTATGATTTTGAGCATTATATGCACTTTGAGCAGAACTTCTCTACATCTTTCTTGAAATGCAACACTTAAAAGTGGTCCATCATCACAGCTAGGGTCTTGTCTACCTCAAAATACCCCATTAGACCATCTCCATGTGGTTCTTTGAGCACCAACTCTCGCATAGGTAGAAAATTATCTCAATAGAAATTTAAAGTGAATCACTTACAGTTCTGTTTATGGTTAACAAAGAGATAACAAAAATGTAAAGAGATTCATGACACCAACGGTGTTTGTGAGAGAACACATATGACACTAAAAACTATATTTGTGTCTCTTTTATCTTAGCCTAGAAGAAGAAATAATTTTGGTTGTCTTATCCTACAAGGGATTACTTCACTTTCCAAACTGTGTTGATATGCCTTCAGTTCATTGATAATATCTGGAGATCTAACCATTGGATTGCTTCTATTCCACTTGCATTGGAACACTGGTTGTCTCCTCTATAATTCCTCCAAATTTTGGGATGATCAGACGGTTGGAAGGTCTTTATTGATTGTCAATCTTCTGATGGTATGAATTTATTTAAAATGTACTTTTGCTCTAAAATGCACTCCATAAGTCCAAGTTTCCTGAAAAATCTTTTAAAACTCTAAAACATAGAAATCACTTAAAAAATATTGAAAACAAAGTTAAAATACCTGCATAAGATATTAAAAGTGATCCATAAAAATGGTAAAAATCTGGTGTTATCATACACCTCGTTATTTGTAAATTATGGGGATTTCCGATGAAGATAAACATGTTGTGAATGCTTCTATCTGTACATGTACATGGAAAGAATATGTGTATTCGAATTCGTTTGTAAGGATAAAATTGTAAAATTTCAGTAAAGATCACCGCATCATAATTTTTTTTTTTTTTATCAAGTTAAGGTAATGTATATAATGGAATAAAACAATACATATATATGAAATAAAATTGTACTTCTAAATATAGATAAGTTATTAAGCAACGTTGAATTATAGTTCCCATAATTGTAAGTTTGCTATCGTTGTATATGATCCAAGGTAGTAGTTTTAATATTAATCTAATTGAAAGAAAACAGAATTAAATTTTTTGACCAGAGAAGTCAATAAGAAGCGTTGCATTATAGTTGCAAATTGCAATGTTTTAAAACGTTGCATTAACACCTGTCTTACCTATTGTCTATGGAAAAAGAGTTGTAAATGAAGAGTCGCCTATTGGTATACTTACTATATA